GTGCCTGAACACTTGTGGCAAAAAAACATCGATAGCTTTGGTTTTGATGTTTAGGTTGTTAAGTCTTAAAGAGTCCCCAGTTTGTTGCTTCTAAATGAATATTAACTACAGAGCTTCCAAGCTTACTTGTTGATGAGTGACTTAAAGAAATGTCTTTGGCTTAAAGACCCCAACATCTGAACCTTCTCAATATCACAGGATTGATCTGTGCATGCACAGTTCTATTAGACAAGTCTGAAGTTATATTGTGCATTTTTTTTTTGGTTTTGTTTTGATGCTTTCTGATATGAACACTTGCAGTCTGTCTGCTCCAGGGCGCTGGCAGTCATGCATTGTACTGCTGTATCACTTCCCTCTCTAGAAAGAGGGAAAATCCTATCCTTTTTAAGATGAGTGACTTATGCTGCATTTAACTCATTTACACACACTTCCAGGGGCTGATGCAGCCATGGTGATGGTAAAGAAATAACAGGGCACACATGCACAGGGCGTAGCAGATGGGGGACTCATTTTGATCCCTGCACATTGTTGTTGTTGTTTCATTCTGGTTTATTGTATTTTAGTCATTATATTCACATGCTCTGAGCTTTCATAGCCCTAGCTAGTTATCTTCCAGGAGAGCTCTAAGGAAATACATCTCCAGTTTATTCTGCCTGCCTCCCCTGACACACACTTTCTTGCAAAAATGTAAGCTCAGAGTTCAATTTACAGAAAAATTTTACAGAAAGAGGCACTCAGCAAACATGTTACTTACATGAGGTCTTTTCCATTCAAACTTGACAGGGCTTTTCTGGCTATAGAAGAGGGAGGAGTCATTTGGTGGAAAATCGGGGTCTTCATAGAGAATGTTCTTCTCCAGGCACTTCCTGTGAAGCTCTTCATAGGTCTTCTCCTTTACGCTGATAATGGGCTGGTTGCGACTTATAATGGCGGAATAAATGCCCCCTGTGCCCCCACCTGCCCCTTCAGTTGTGGTGCTGAAAGTAGGGCTGGGAATCGACCCAGCAGCCGTTTGCTGAGCCACCGCTGCATTTATGGCGGACGGCATGGGAATCAGGAGTAAAGCAAATGCTGAAAGCAAGCAAGATCTTGCAAACTGGAAGGAAATTTCAGAAAAGAGGAAGTTGCTATGTAAACTGTCTTTTCTATCTGTTGAAAGTCTTCTAGTCAAATCTGCAAACCAGAAAATTCCATGTGACTTTTCATCCTCTCGATGGATAGTAGTTTGTCATAAGAAATTGGAATTTATTCCTTGACGTGGGACAAGATGATCTGTTGGCTAAGTCCCGGGTCTGAGTTGTAGTATCTACAGCATGCGTATGTGTCTGCCCTCTGCGTGTAAGTGTCCAGAAGGGACAAGCTTTAACCCATGAAATCTAAAAATAACTATAGGCAAAGAGAGAGGGAAAATGAGAGGGAGGGGGTTAGTGAGATGATGTCAATCATCTGTGCAGCTTGTGCTGAGGCCAGGCATGTTCCTGGGACGGGCCTTGTGTGTGGGCCGACACCTGGTGGAAGCAGTTCATATTTTCCCTAACTAGATAACAATGAAACTGGAAGCTACACTCCTGCTGGTTTGGGAATGTTATTTATGAGGTACTTCCAGGCAATAATCTATTCTTGACACTCGTGAAGGAATTGTTGCACTTTACTTGTTTCTACCCCTTGTTCCAGAAAAGATACAGACAAATATTTACTATTAGAGAGGATTATCTAAAGACACACTCCTAATGGTAAAAAAGGTGGTAATATGATGCTACTGAGGCCAGGTCAGTAAGTGCCTACTGGGTTTGGTTCCCCTAGAGAGCAGCCTGGCAGCACTAAAATTCACATGGTAATAGCTACCTCCCATATAAAAGGCATCTTTTTGTGTAAGGGCAGAAGTGTTTCTAAGGGGCCTAGTGTGGAAACTGGGCTGTTCTCTGTGTGTCAGGATATACCAAGGTTACAGGAGACATCTGACTGCAAGTAGTGAGATGAAAGGGCCTTTCACTGCACAGCTTCAGCAAAGATGCTCATTTTGCAGCCTGTGCATATGTTCGTTCTTTCATATTTTCCCTTTCTGACCAATATAAAAATACATCTATTTATTCTCATATACAGAGCTCTGTTTCCGGAATAATTGTCAGTGGGAGAGGTCTGACATTTGACAAACTCCTGTGGGAACTGGGTAGTATAAAGTGAATGATTAGCAGTGGGTTTTGTTTGGGTTTTTTTTCTGTTGGGATGGTCAGCAAGTGTCAGGGTATGACCTGCTGCTACTGCTATAGCTAAGAGTTCAGAGAGTGACTGCAGGTGGACATGCACTTCTCAATTCTAAGCCAATGTTGCTCTTTAGGTATGTTCAGGAGTTATACTTGTTCAAAATACAATTTCTCCTTTTCTTATTTGTTACTGGACAGGTGGTTTTGTTATGGAGTCCTTTTTTTTGTAAGACACAGTAGTTGCTACTAAAAGACAAAGTGTCTTTAAATAAACACAGTTTTCCATAGAGGAGAATGGATGTGCTGTCTGCTGCAAACAGCAAAATAAATTCTCAGAAATTAAACCACGTATGTGATGGAATTTACTGCAAGCAGAAGTACCCAAATAGCTGACCTGTTCAGACAGAGCAAAAATGAACTAATCTTTATTGGACTAATCTACGATATTAATATTGCCAGTTAATTTTAATGAAGTTTTCTCTCCAGTTGTTTTTACTAATTTCTTTGAATTATTTCTTTTGTAAAGATTTATGAAAATTTATTTCTTCAATTATGGCATAAATACATGGATAAGTATCTGAGTCACTACAAAGAGCAATGTAAATTATATTCTTTGACATTTATTTCCTCAGATCTAAAGACGTGACTGCTATGATTTTCAGGAACTCATTCCTATTCAAATCCATAGAAGTTAGGCACTTCACATCACTGAAAATTTGACCCATGAGTACTTACCATGGTGCAGACATCATACTGAGGGCCAGAGTATAAAAGTTAGTCACTTTAGCATTCACTTTAACCAGATACCACTGGAAGAAAACTCGGCAGTGATTCTCAACAGCAGAAAAAAATTGGAAGGAATAAAGCATGTAACTAGCTTTGTTTTTACTTTATTTCACTTTCCAACTTGAGAAATAGCAGTTAACATATTTCATTAAAATGCTCCAGACACTAATTATATCCTGTTAGAAGCACTGTTACTCTTAAAACATATTTCATCAATTAAAGCTTAGAAGCTGATATAAAAATAGAGTCTGTCTCTCTTTTCACAGACACAAAAGATGTATTTGCTACTGTTCTACCTGGATTAACTCATCTGCATTAAGCACAACAGTATTTATGTTGCCAGTTCCTGGAGTGGAGGCTCACACGGTCTCCTAGAAGGTGCCAACAAACAGCTCTGCAGAATTAAAAAGAAAGAACTTAAGGGTCTGGTGTGGGGGGAGAACAAGCTACGCTTGAGTCGTCAAGAGCAGAACACTCAGTTTGCTCTCACACTTGCTATTCCCAGAAATCTGCCCTGCAGAGGACAAACAGCAGCAGGTGGGAATGACTAACTAAGCACAGGGAACTTAATGTAATGTTATGTTGGCAAAAACTATCCCTTTCTGTTTCCTACGAGTTATTTTACTGATGTTTTTAGAGAATACTCCTTTATCTTACTAAAAGAAATTAAGTAAACTATGTCCTTTTATATTCAGAAACCCAACTAATGGCATGTTCAGGTTTGACTCAAAGCAAACTGGTTTTAAAATAATGTAGTTTACAAATGTAGCAAATGGAAAGGGCAAACAAACTGTAGAGCAACGGCAGCCTGTGAAAAAAGATGCCCAGTATGGAAAGGCCTGATGTAATAGGCAAGATGTAGTGGATGTGGGACTCAGGATGTCCCCTAATTTTGCAAGGGAAGCATCAGGACACACCAGATCTGTTTGCAGAGATGGTGGGAAAAGGAAGCAAGGGAACATTAGGCTGGAGTTGTAACAGAATGGGAGAATAAACACGAGGTGGGATGGCTAAATGTAGAATTAATCCCATTAACATTGAACTGCTCCACAAATACCAAGCTCAAATCTCAGCCAGATACTAAAAACTGATCAAGACAGTACTAAATAATGTGTAAAGGAAGCTAAACCTTGACAGGAGCTGCAAGATGTGGAGAAGTATAGGTGCTTCACTGGGCTGGCTTTGATCAATGACACTCAATCATCAATGTCAATTCTTTCCTAACAAAAGACTTTTTTTTTTTTTTTTTTTTTTTTTTTTTTTTTTTTTTTTTTAAGTAGTACTTGCAGATAGAGGGGAGCAATAACATGGAAAATGTTTCCATGTGAGTATAGCTGCTATCCTAAGCCAGTACTGCAGTTAATGAGGACCCGTGCCTTTTCGAAATCCAAGTTTCAAAGCCAGCTGTGGGACAGCCTTCTGCACTGTCATGTCACTGTCTTCTACTGTTGCACAACTGACTGGCACAACCTGCTCAAACTTCACCTCCAGTGACTGAAACATTCAGCGAGCCTGTTGTTTACTTTCCTGTACAGACCAGCTAATTTTGTGTTGTCATAAGGACTGGAAAAGGGAAGTGTCTGTAATCACACAGGGCGGCTCCTTCTGTGTCTGTTTTCACAAGGCAGCTTGCAGGCAGATCTCTGGTGATAACCTCTGCGTGTGGTGGATCTACTGATGCTGCTTGTCAAACTGGCCCACATCTCAAGTGCTCCAGTCTCTGAATAATGGGATTTCCAAATATTTAAGCCGTGTGCCAACGAGCCCCAATCTCACCCCATCAAGTCATGATTTTTTAGTGAAAATGAAGGCAGAACTGAAGCTTAATGCCTAACTAAAGCTAGCCTGGAGCAAATGGTATTTAGCTTATTTCCCCAAAGATACAATCCTAGTGCTATCACTTTTGCTGAATAGAAGAGCTATCCAAGTTTAAATTAGTGCTTTAAAAGAAAAATTGTAGGAAATGTTAGTTTGGGGGGTGTCAGTGGAAAAAAACATTTGTTGATTTGATTGGATTCAAGTGTATGTCTTTTTCAGTTCCCAGTTTATTTCTCCTCAACCTCCCAATGAATTCCTTCTCTGAAGAACTTGTGTCTCAGTTGATACAAATCTCCCAGTCAGCATCAATACTCAGGGCTAAGTTTCCCAGAGTCAGCGCAGAGGTCTTCGTATCATATGTGAAAATCACTTCCTTTTCTTTCCCACCTGAACAGGACAAGAGAGTTTACTATTTGATTTAAGAAGAACTCTTCTGAAACACAGTTACATATGACTCTCTCCAATTCTTAATTCTGACTGACCTTGCCACTGGTGGAAAGGATTAAAAAAGAAATAGAAGTCAAATCTGCCCAGCATACACACAAGAATGCAGCAGAACTGGAAAATAACTATTTCTCTTTTTCTGGTCTTTCAAACTATGGTATGTCAAACTGTGGTACTACTAAAGGATTTTTCAGAAAAAAATAACCCTTGTTTCTGCATAGGTTTTCCTCCAAACACCTTTGACAGGTAGAGGCAGAAAGTCCATTTCCCCATGACTCCCAAAGTGAAGGGACATGCTTGGAAATCAATCAGAAATTATAAGCCCTTTCTTGTAGATGCCACTGCCTATCCATATGGGATCCCTCACAACCTCTAGAGATCTCCACATAATCAAGAACTCCAGAGCTTTTGAATGAGCAAGAAATCTGCTTTAGTCTGGAAGTTTCCTTCTCCAGACTAGATAGGTTTACAGATCTGAGCAAATGGGCCTTCACTTGAAATGCTATCTCTGGTCATCTTCTGTGCAGGACAACATTGTCTGAATTTGTTAATTCCAACCCACTTTTACTGATGTATCTATTGCCTTACAAAGCCAGTGTGCTTCAGTTCTGCATGTAAAAATAGTAGTGAATAGCTGCTGCCTCCTTTCACTAAATTCTGTCCTTGATATCAAAAAAGTAGCAAAGAAAACTAAACAAAGAGGCTTTGTATGCTGTAACATTTCCATTATAGAGCTGTCAGTTTGACACCTCAAGTGAATGGCTGCAGAGAACAGGATTTCAAAGAATTGCAGTAAAATAGAATTCAGCTCATTACCCTTGGAACTGGCTCTCACAGAAGTGGGTTGCTTTCCAAATCCCAGAACTATCACCCACTCAACCACACATGAGGTTTGGTATTGTCCGCTTTCATCTGCACAGCTGAAAAAAGAAAGTTATTTAATATACATTAGTTTTTGGCCAACAGTAGAGGTTCAGTATCATATAGAGAAAGTACTACTTCGGTCTCATCCTGAAAGTTCCCTAATACTAGTTTCCTTTCCTCTTTTTACCTTTCCTTTCCGTTCCTTTCCTTTCCTCTATTTACCTTTCTCCTAAAAAATTATCAGATTTAACACATATATGATTTAACAATATTGAAGAAGAAGAAATGTGAGAAGGTATTTATGGCAAAACATATGTCTTTGACAACCAGAGAAGTTCTGTATTTTCACAAAATGGTAGTTAAAACTCCTAAGAATAAATGTAAAGCTAATTTTTAACACCTTTTCAAGTAAGATGTTTCAATCCGAGGCAAAATTATCTTTCATTTTGTAACTAATTTAATTTTTATTAAAAAGCTCAAAAAAACTCAAATCAAAATGAAACTTCTTGTAGTGAACAAATGTCATATCATTCATCTGAAAATGACTTTTTTCCATCTTCTAGATTTGCTAGCAATTTAGCAACATTTTTCTTTCCCATCCTGTATTTTTAAGATCTTCAGAATTTCATATTCCAGATCAAGAGATTTGAATTACACTTTTAACTACATTATCCAAACTAGACTACAGTTTTGCTCTGTGTTATATTTTTAGCTTTAGGACCATCGCCTGCATACATTTGAACCCTGAAGGACTAAAGAATGTCAGCAGAATCACCAACACTGCACAGCCCCAATGGCAACATACTTCAATAGTAAAAGTGTTATAGTGATGTATCTATTATCTTGTTCCTTACAAGCAGCTAAGGATCCTTTTGGCTTTTAGGTTTTGTCACTCAGCCTTTGCAGGATGTATCTGCTTGTGCCTCCTTTTAAGTGCTTTTCTTCATGCTAATATACATAGTGAAATTTGTTGATTACTTTTGGAGACTAGAATGGAGTGTGTTTGTGGTACCTAGACAGAAGCACTGAATATCTCAAGTTGGAAGGGACATATAAGATTTAAGCCCAACTCCCTGCTCCTTCCAGGACTACCTAAAATTAACTCATATGACTAAGAGCATTATCCAGATGTGCCTTGAACTGTGATAGGCTTAATGCCTTGACCACTTCCTGAGAAACATGTTCTAGTAACCAACTACTCTCTCAATGCATATTATGTTAGAAAAATACATCTTAGAAAAAAAAAATCACTCCAGGTGTTGCCTATTTGCAAATCTCCGGGTTTACTTTCTTTGTCTCTCTGATGGGCTTTACCCTTTCTAATGACTTCCCTTGTACTTGAGTAAATCTGCAGAATCTCTAATTTGACTAGACTGAAACAAAATGAGATAACTCAGTATTTCATGTATTGCTGCCCTTAGACTTATGCAGAACATTGTTTACCCTGGCAGTTTTATGACAGATTCTGCACACTCTGGGACTGCATCAAGAACAGCGTGACCAGCAGGAGCAGGGAAGTGATCCTTCCCCTGTACTCAGCACTGGTGAGGCCACACCTCGAGTTTTGTATTCAGTTCTGGGCCCCTCAGTTCAGGAAAGACATTGAGGTGCTGGAGCAGGTCCAGAGAAGAGCAACCAGGCTGGGGAAGGGACTTGAGCACAAGTCCTATGAGGAGGGAGCTGGGGTTGTTTAGTCTGGAGAAGAGGAAGCTCAGGAGTGACCTCATCACTCTCTACAACTACCCGAAAGGAGGTTGTAGCCAGGTGGGGGTCGGTCTCTTCTCCCAGGCAATCAGCAATAGGACAAGAGGGCACAGGCTTAAGCTCTGCCAGGGGAGGTTTAGGTTGGATATTAGAAAGAAGTTCTTTACAGAGAGAGTGATCAGGCATTGGAATGGCCTGCCCAGGGAGGTGGTGGATTCACTGTCCCTGGAGGTTTTTAAGATGAGGCTGGATGTGGCACTGAGTGCCATGATCTAGTAATCACAGGGGGGTTGAACTTGATGATCTTGGAGGTCTCTTCCAACCCAGTTAATTCTATGATTCTATGATTCTAAGAAGCAGATGACACTTATACTGCTACATTTGCAAGAAGGCCTCATGAACTAGAAAAGGCATTTCCAGTGACAACATGTTTTTGTCCACAACTGCTGTTACCTGGAAGTGAGAATGTTCTTGTGGAAAGTGAATTTTCGATACAGGAACTGCTTCTTATGGAGGTACTGAAATGAATGCCCATCATCAACATAGAGCTCACCTACGGCACAGGCCTGTGAAACACACCAGAAAGAGCACAAATTAACAGCAGTTTCTAGTGCTAAACAATGAAACTTCAAATGTCTCACTATATGTTATGCTTCATATTGAAGATGTGTGTTTATTTCTCTTTAGCAACTTGTATCCCTGGAAGGCTCAGGTAGTCCAGCTCTGAGAGTGCTGGACATCCTGGTTTTGTAAATGGAAGTGGGTGTCAGGCATCACCTCATTTATTAGAAAAGACATTGTAGGAAGCTCTCTCTCTCTATGTCCAAGAGGAAGTTTGTGGTCTGCTCATTCTCTGCTCCTTCCTCCAAGGGACTAGATGAGGGCTGAGAAAGGTTTGAAAAATGTTCTGCATCTGCTATACTCAGATAGCCTCACTTTAAAGGAACAGTGCAGGAGAGGTAGAAGTCCCCTCAAATAGCAGAAGTGGAGAAGAACCACTAGGCATACAGATGTAGATACCATTGTAGTGATCAAATTGGCAGCAAGGGCCTAGAAAGGTCAGATGAAGTGGAAGACATCTTTGTAAAGAGGGAATGCTATCTCGAAGTACCTCTGTGTCCAAGGCCACATGGAGTTCATAAGAAATATCCATCATCCATTCAGTGGATTTCCCAGCTGTGGTCTTCAGAGGGATCACAGTGCCCCCCCGCTGGAATACAGGAAGCTGAGAAAAACAAAGCCAGGGTAGAAAGGTTCATATACTCTGATATATAATTTTAATATGGATCAGGAATAGCTGAAGTCTGCTCTTATAAAAATTTAGAAGTGAACTTCTACCACAAATATGTAAGGACAATGGTTCAATTAACAATGGGAATTGTAGTAACTTTCTGTATGTGTATAAACAAAATAATTTTGCTTGGAAGAGTCACCCTCACATCATGTCCTTTACATCACTTGACCACCACGACACAGTACTATTCCATCTAGCAATAAAGGAGATGGGACTTTTCTAAAACAGCTATTTTAGATTACATTTCTACAAGGAAACTGAAATGTCACTTTTCTGATTACTGACAAAACAAAAGCTAATGTGTTTTTTCTGCTCAAAGGAAGTAGCATTTTAAAACAAAAACATACATTCTCTAGTGTTACTGGAATCTTCAGAGTGCCTGCATCTTCCATTCGTTTAAATTTTCTGAAATCATACCAAACCTAGAAAAAATGAAAAAAGAATAAGCATGACATCTATGGCAAGATTTGTTCCCTCTGCAGATGCAGTTACTTTCCTGCTTAACCTGTCACTACTCTTAAGAACCTATTTGATGTGCAAGAAAAAGCATTCACTTTTCATTTAAATGACCTTTTGTGTGGAAAGAATCAATTCTCATTCCTGAAGCACAAAGATAATTTGATCTTTTCTACAGTTTGCATAACATTTTATATGTCTTAAAGCATCTGAAAATGCAAAAAAAAAGAAACACTTTTTTTTTTAATGTAGTTCCTGAAAAAGTATATTTATATTGAAGTGAAAATTAATACCAAAGTTGCTAATAACAGGTACAGGTGACAAAAAACAGCTGCACTTGAACTTCCCACACACACTTGCCAGCAGGTTTAACTGCTTTAAGTGTGCCAAGCAGTCAATTCCCACTGAGATCTTGATAAAAATATTTTTCTTAACTTGTTTGGAGAGCCTAGTCTGTTTTTCTCCCCATCCTGACAAGAATTCTACATGTCCTCAGGTGCCCTAGTGGAGTCACAAAGCTCTGCATGGTCTCATACACTCCCCTTTGTTGCTTACTCTCTAGAGTCTCAAGCTTTCCCTTAGGAACTATTTTCCCCAAATTATTTCCCGTCCTCCACCTCTCAGCTGCTGTAGCCAAACGTTCTTTGTAGGAGTGGACGACTGTGCCATCCTGTGGATAAATACTTTTACTTCAGAGAGGAACTGATCTCTGTAAATGTCAGTCTTTGTTACACGTGTCCCAGGCTACTGAGACTTGTATTTCCTTGTTAAAAATTTTTCCTCCCCACAGCTTCCCTCTGATATCCTTATGACCTTTCTTCAAAGTTCCTTTTTTTCACATAAAAAGTGAAGCTTAAACCAAAGAGAAATACATGAAAAAAGGAAATTGACAATTCAGTGAAGCTGTTTTATGGTGTCTGGTGAGAAGCAGCAAGCCTTGAAGGAACATTTAAACTATAGGGGATCTGAGATTTGTGCAGCAGCTCTTGGAAAAGCAAGAAAGTACATTTCCTGTGAGCCAAGAATGCAAGGTATTAAGGTGGAAGGAAAGGTTCAGAATGGCTCAGGATGGCTGGCCAGCACTTGGCAGGGCAGCAGTGCTCAGCAGTTACAAGATAGGGAGCCAGAAGGTTCCTGCATAAAATATTTCTTTGGGCAGAATTTCATTTCTTATGAACAGCTGAGCAGTTCATTTTCATCCTTACCTCCTTTGACCCTGGAAGCAGAACAGTCACTGTCTTGGCCTCTTTCTCTGTGACTGGATGCACCAACAAAGCATTTCCTGGAGAAAAACATGAACATGGCTGTGGTCCTCAAGGCTGCATCTCACCAGAGCAGAAACTGTGTGCTCTGGGGTTTTCAGCCTCCCATAACCATTTCAGGAAGTTGCTTGGGCTGCCATGTGCTTAGGTTCACTTTCTACTGGAAAAAAAGGCATCTGTAAGGAGCTGATAGCTACCTGACTTCAGCAACCAGCCATACCAGAGTGAAAAACAATCATGTTTGGGTGGTAGTTGTTTGCTACTGCCATTTTTGAACAGGCTGTGGTCTTAGCTGCCACAGTGAACTTTCAAGTCAAACCCAACCATGTTTTTTCAAAGAGACTAGTGAGATAAAACTCATTTTTTGCACCTCATATGACCTTTATTTTCAAAGTGCTGTTAAAACCAAGTCCCTTAAAGAGGTCTCAAGTTCTATATTCAACTACAATATAATTTTTTGAAGTCTTGAGCAGAATTTTTATGTTTCCTTTTTGTTATGCAACACTTTACCACCTCAAAAGTATTTAAGTCAAATTCCAGAGAATAAGACACCTGCTTACCCAGCATGTACTCATACTCCACATCAAAAGTTTCTGTTTTTCCTGGAAACTCTACCCAGAGAGGCCTGTAGAAAGAAAGATAATGGAATTCAGTTACTTTTTCCTCTCCAGTCAACCTGTTCAAGTTCTTCTGGCATTTTCAGGCTCCATTTTCTCCCTCTCCTTCCAAGGTACAGTTACCAAGAACTGAAGATAGGGCAAGGTTCTCTTCTCTACCAGGTGACTCGAAGTACCCCTTTGAGTCACTGATGAGAGTCTCCAGTATAACATGGGTTATATATACCTATGACTTCATCTCCTGCAGCCTCATTTTCTTCCCTCCTGCCTTCTTCCTTAAAAACTTTGTAAGGAAGTTTGTACTACTTGTACTACTACTACTACTACTACTTGTACTTCTACTACTTGTTCCTTCGAGCAAAGGAGAGATGAATGAGCCTTTCTGTCACAGTCTGCCAGGAGTGCTGGCAGCTGATAAGCTAGTCTCTGCAGCACAGTTCTTCCTGTTCTCAACAGCTCACTGCTGCTTCTATAGCAAGTCTCCTCCTGGCCATACCTGAAAAACCTGCACCAGAAGTTAATTTTCAGTCTTTCTCAAAAAACCATTTGGTTATAAAATAGGAGTTGTATATTTAAAGTTGGAGAGATTATGACAGTGATAGCTCATTGAGAGACAGGGTCTGGGTTTCCTTACACAAAAAGCCTGGCTCACCTTCTTACTCATAGGCATCCATCCACTTGTTCACTGCAGCCCTGCTCCTCATGTGCTTGCTAATGAGACACATTTTCCACTCTGCTTGTCTTAGTGAGAAAAATATCATGTTTCCTCTCTAATTTTGTACCTACTGCACCAAACTTAACACAATAGAAGTGTTATTTAATACTGTGGGCAGTTCACATGTCAACATAAGCTTCACTTCAAGAAAGACAGAAACCCACTGCTATGTCAGCGCATACAACAGGTGCATCTTGGCCTATATATGTGCAAATCATCTTCAAAACCCAAATCACTCAAAACCCTTCCCAAAACCATCTTCATATTTTTAAAACTTAGGAGACGTATCTGCATAACAACAAGTAAAGGTAAATGTGGTGCAAAAGAACAGTTCTAGGGCAACCTCAAAGACACAGAAATCAATACCAGGGAGATTACTGACATTCATCTCTTGTTGAAAGAATTGCTGGATTTAGTTCTATTGAGGCCCACTCTTAGAGGTTAGAGAGCAGCGGAACAAAAATTTATTTTCTAATATCATTTCTGTTCTGTATTATTAGATACTCTGCTAAGAGAAACATTCGAAGGGATACTGCAGACATAAATTATAAACTTACTAATGTGATGTAAGCTTTTGGAACAATAACAATAAAGCAGTAACAAGTGTTTTCATGAGGGGCAAAATGATATTTAGATTTTTAAGTCAACAAGTTCAGAGTCCATTAAGCACTGTCTTATGTACCTGTTGGACTACTAAATAATGTTCTTTATCATGATGGGAAGTCTGAAGTCTGCAGTATTTAAAAAACTTGTCTAAAGACAGTGTTTATTGAATTAGTGTGTCCCAGGTGTCATTTGGAAAACAAAAACATATAATTTTCCTCTGAGAACCCTAGCAAAGCTTGCAGAGTGCACAAAAATAGAATTCACTATTATTATAATTTTTGTGGGTTTAAATTTTTTAATATTCAAATAAGTAATCATAAAAGTAAGAGACGTTAATTTAACTTCCCTTCTCCAAGTAACTTCCTGAAGATTATCACTAAATCTCCTGACTTACGTTCTTACCTCATAACTGGTTCAGCCGCTGTGTGTGCCCGATAGAACAGTGTGTATAAGTAAGGCAGGAGGACGTAGCGCTCTCTAATGGCTTTCCTGATGATCTGGGTGTTCTTCTCCCCAAAGAGCCACGGTTCTCGCCGTTTGCTCTCCATGTTAGAATGACCTCTGAAGAAGGGCTGGTAGGCTCCAGCCTGATACCAGCGAACAAGTAATTCTGGTTCTGGATCTCCAATAAACCCTCCCACATCAGCTAGATATTGCGCAGACAAATAAAAATACACATTTTTGGAAATTATTCTGAAAATTGTGAAGCTCTCCTCTAACAAGCATTCCAAGTGTATAAATCCATGCATTTCACAGTGTGCTTGCTGTTCTGCTGGGTGTAACAAGTTATCTTTCAAAAAAAATCTCAAGAGAGCTTTTGAAAGCTGAGTGCTGTTCTCAGTGACAGAGGACTGCCACAATGGTGCTATGGAACACCACCTGCAGACTGCTGCTCCAGATGGACACGAACATGACGTAAGAGCTAGCGGAGGAATGATGACAGCCAGGTTTCAGGCTTCTGAAACCAGACTGATCTGTGAAACTGCCTGGAAATGCACTGGACTGTTGAGCTTTCCACCAGCTGTGTTGAAGTCTACGTTGGGAATCCAAGCTTAGTGACACATTTGATGCATAGTGAGAAACACATTACCTCCACAGAAGGAAATCCCTGCCAAGCTGATGGTAAGAAGCATTGGAATGGATATTTTCAAGTAACTCCACTCTGCTGTGTTGTCTCCAGTCCACACTGCCCCTGCAAATACCCAGTTTCAGCATTATACAGGAAAACCAAGTATATACTTCACTTTATGCTTGCGGTGAAGGAAAGAAGACAAGAATAGACATGAACTACTCATGAATTGCTGTACATTGCAACTTTTTTTTCTTTATATATACATGTTCCTGAAATATGCAGTAAAAAACAGGCAGTGGTTTGCCATAGGACACATGTTGTTTTTCTGCCTTTAACTTGTACACGCTTTGCCAACCTTTCCCGATTTTTAAAATTTTTTTTTATCACTTGCACTCTTATGAGCTCACCATGTCAGTATTTCTAAGACAATTTCTGTCCTCTGTAGACTCTTATCCACCAAACTACACAGAACAAAGCAGCAACGAAGGCATCCAGCTAGTCCTTACCATACTTCTGTGATCCAGCAAAGAAAGATCGTGTGAGGACAAATGGTCTCTCTTTTCCTGAAGAACGTCTGATGAGTCCTTCTGCAGTTGCCATTTGCTGAAAATCATTAATGTAAAAAGCCAGGAAGACAAACTCTTTAATTAGGGTATTTTCTAGACTGCCTCTTTAGCCCTTCCAAGTGAGAAAAATTAAGAACCCACAAACAATATCTATTATGAAAGCAACGAATTCTTATTAGAACATAATTGAATGAAAAATTATTAATATTGTGTAGTCACAGTCGATGTAATTTACATTATTATGGTAGAAAGGCACTGATGTCACATTTTCTTGTGACCACAGAGTTTATTTCAAATATTGCAATATCCAGCACAGCAGAGTCCTTGATGAAGGTTACAGAATACCTAGTACCGCGTAAAGTACCACATTAGACATACTCCATGGGAGTAACTGTTTGTGTCTCCAGATACTCTACCTGATAGAATCCATAGAGGTTGTGTACTTCCCGATGCTCCCAGTTATTGTAGTGCACAGCATCTTTCTGCATTGTTAGTTCTGCCCCTTTGAAGACTGAAGGCTCATTCATGTCATTCCATACAAAGAGGATATTAGTGGATCCCTGTAACGTAGGGCTGTAATTAGATCATGACAGAGCCATTGCTGTGACTTAGTGTGTTTATCTCTAGCAGGTGTCAGACCAGTCGGGGGTGTGACTAGAAACAGCAGCAGAAAAACAAGATGTGGTAATTACACTTCTGAGGTCACTTGAAAGCTGCCAGTTGTTCATCTCATCTCTCTTGGTGGCCCTTCTGGTCAGGGTAGCAGCCTGCAAGCCCACCTGATTTTTGCAACTCTTACAAACTCAGAAGGCACTTGCTATTTCTGCCTTCTGGTGAGGGAAAAGAGGCAGGGAAAAGAGAAGTATTAAATAGTCATGAGAAAAAAATCAGAGAAGGCCAGAGGTGAAAAATTGGAGAGGAAAAGCAGCCTGGGAAATATTTACCATGCATATCTACTAGGAGAGTGGTTTCAACAACTCTACTGCAAACTAGAAGTTTGGGGAAGGGTGGGCGAACTGGAGGTGTCCAGCAGTGGTCACTCAGACTCTTTCAGCACTAGCCAGGATGGTCAGAATGAAGTGACTATGAGCTATGAGAGAGCACTTCCACATTGCTTTTCGTGTGCCATCACAGCAGTAAAAGCTGAAATAGCAGCAGCTGGATTAGATTATGCAGCAGGTGGTTCTTAAAATATCTAAAGTTTGTCCCTTCTACTGCTGCAACTAAGTGAGCACATTCACTGGTGACATATGGATTTCAACTGTCTTAATGTAGACAAGTCCATGGAGAAAATCCTTCTGTGGTGCTTCAGCTTATCAAGATATTTTCCTCTACATTACAATAATATAGCTACAAAAGCCAACAACTTGCTTAGCCAGTATCTTCTTTTTCTTCTCCATTTTCAGGCTTTCTGGGACATGTAGATCAGAGCAAATAAATACAAACCTTGTACGTTTTGAAGGCAAATTGATCTGCATACCATTTTCGCACTTCAGGATTGGTGAAATCCAGGTAGCAAGAGGAACCTGCGGAGGTGGGAGATCCCAGTTATTTACCTGATTTTAAGAGCATTGTCTTTGCACCTAAATACACTGGCCTAAAGCTACAATGCTTTTCACCAGAAGCAATAACGTAGTCACTATTGTTTCTGAAATAAAAGCTCAACAACAAATTCCAGGCTGACTTGGAACTCAATACACCCCCTTGCCATATCAACATACATAGATTCTGGAGGTCTAAAGCTCAGCACCCTTTAAGGATGACTGCTAACAGCCTGAAACATGTTCAGATGTGAATAGGAAGCCAGGGAAAGACAATATCCCTGGTATCTTGAACTCAAAAAGGAAAGCATCACTGAGAAGCTGAATAACTACATCCTGCCAGCTAAAATGTGGAGACAGAGTGTGTTTTTACCTGACCAACAGATGCCCTCAAAATCTTGCCCATTTCTGTCTTTCACAAAATATCCCTTGTCTTTTGCCTGTGAATACAGGCTGTACATGGGATCAACCTTAATGTGCGGATCTACAATGACGACAAGCTGATAGGATAAGAAAACAAAGAAAATTAGCATCAACTGTACTTAATAAAACAGTAAGAGCTCACTTTTGATAAAAGGCAGAGAATGATTTCACCTCGGGTAAAAAAGACAGCTGTCACTAATTGTAAAAAGCAGTTACCAGGTTTTGTATATCAACAATTAAGCAATTCTACAATTTTAAGATATTGTCTACATTTTAGTACCTCTACAAGGAAAATATTTTAGCTGTAAAAGCAGAAACACAAAGCAAAGCTGAAGCAAGTACAGCAACCACCAGTAGTGAAAGCTCATATTAAGAAGAAAAATGTTCTGCTGCGTCCACAGCACCGAACTGCTTCTGTAAGTAAGACAGAGCTTCACATGAGTCAGACTTAGCCCGATGGTCAGGATACACAGCAAACTACAAAATAATAAAATGGCATGAAGAACTGAATTAAACATGATAGCTTGGCATGCTGTAAGCATCACCAGACAGCAACAGAGTCCAATCTACTCTGTTGTAGTTAAGCTGTTTTCAGTATCTGAAGTACCTAGGTTAAAGCCAGATTGGGTAGATTGACACCAGAGAGAAATATTTTCTTTCTTCTTGCTATATTATTTACCTTGCGTTTTTTCTTCTTGAGATGTTCTTGCATCTTTCTGGGGTTCTGGAATTTCTTTTTGTCCCAAGTAAAATACCTCTTGCCATCTGTGTGCTCTATGTCCAGCCATATCACATCATAAGGAATGTCATGTGCATCAAAGCCAGCATCTACTGCCTTGACATCTTGCTCATCCTCATAATTCCACCTGCACTGATGGTAGCCCAGAGAAAAAAGGGGGGGCAGGGCTTGAGTGCCTAGGAAGAGTATATGAATGAAGATAAAACTGTTAATGTCCTTCAAGAATTTATCTAGAGACTCTAGAAAAAGTTAACATGATTAATATGTGTCTCTCTGGAGCTAGGGAATGCTGGCCTAAATTCTTCATGCCAAAGTGACTGAACTCTTGAAATAATGAGCATTACAATGAGCTCAACAGTCAGAAAGAAGAAAGGGCTGTAATGATAATATGAGAGTGAAAAGGAACTTGCTGTTCCATGATGCTGAAGTGTTATTCCAATAACCAATTTTATTCTTTATCTTTTTTCTAATAAATAATATTCCAGATTAGCTTATCTGTCATTAACGCACACAATCACATAAATTTTGATCAGTAGAAGGCAATTTCTGTGACTGCTTGAGTAGTATAAAGAGGTCCACGGGTGCTACAGTACAAGGAGAACCACTGGAACTGAAATTGTTAGAAATTTTTAAAATTAGCACACATGCTTGTATGTATGCATACAGGAAAACGGAGCTGGGAAACCTTCCTGAGCACGCACTTCTGCTTGGAGAGATCCTCTTGGAACCTGGCTACTTTTCTATTTCTCTTTAGCTGAACCACGTTCTCTGTATAACACCTGTGCAGCAAAGAAACGTTGCTAATAGACTAAAGAACTACCGGGAATATTTAGGTACTTTAATTCTCTTTAGCACACAAAAAATGTTGCTTTCATAAAATATTAGTCCCCTTTTCTCCATTTTTTTTTTTACTCTCTTCCTGAGCCTCTTGTTTCTTTCCCATATCTGCATGGGGATATATTCCCTTCCCTAAGGGGCACACTCAACACTTACCTATCTTATTTCTCTAGTCTCCAGGACATGTTACTTCATAACTTCAGTCTTTTCACCTTGTAAGGTGGCCTGTCTTAATGGTGACTGGTAGTTTTAGCCCCTCGTATCTCCCTTCCTCTTCTAAGGGTGCAGTTTCAGATAGCAGTAATTGTGCTGGCTTCTCAATTAGGGCCAAGTTTGACTAGCTGCAAGTGCAAGGGAGAGGCCAGTCTTCACAAAGTACCAGCCTTTGCTCTACGTGCTGCAGCTTGGGAACAACTACACACAATGGGCTAGGTAAATATTAACCTGCTCCTGGGTACAACAAGTTCCTCAGAGAATCTCCCAGGTGAATGTGCCAGACTCCAATTATGTGAGTTAGTACCTGTCAGTTGTGCAAACTGCTTGAAGGTATCAAAGGCAGTGGGTCCCATCAGCAGGAAAACATCAATGATTCCACTTTCTGACATCCAGCGTACATCAGTTAGAGGCACTGCTCTCTGCTTAGCAGTCTCTGCAGCAGATGTGGATGACGTGTGCTTTGAAGGAAACCGAGGAAAAACTGAATCTCTGTCTGCCAAACTTTTATTCAGTGAAGGAGCAAAGACGGAAACACACAAAGTTCACTAAGACATACCTGGCAGGTATTAGAAATACACACTGAATGTTTCTTATATATCCTTCACAAATCCTTTACCTTCCATACTGCTCATACAAAGTAGAGTAATAGTTAATGAGGAAAAATGGATAATGAGGGGCAAAATAATTATAAGCTTTTCTGTAATTACAAACTATGCATATTCTGTAGGATCTTTCAGTAATATCTAAATGGTAAGTAAAAAAAGAAAATTAATAATTTTAACCACATAATGTAGTGCTGGAACAACACAAGATTTTCCTTTTCCTCATTGTTTCAATTTTAACAGAATTCATGTTTGTGTTTCAAGAGTTTGAGTGAATTTCTTTGCCAAACATTCCATGTTTCTTGAAGGTCAATTACATTCCACAGAATGAGCCTGCTAGGAAAAAAAGTATGGTACCAAGAATTTAAAAACTCAGAGAAATTCCTCAAATCCAAGAGATTGTCAAGATTTTGGACACTCTTATTTCTGCCTGCTACATACACCTGTGTAGATCTTTTCTGCATATTTCCTCTTTGCCTCCTCCTGTAGACCTGTTAACATACAAGATCTATAACTCATCTCTTTGTTCTTTTCAGCGGCTTAACACAACAAATTTAGCACTAGGGAGAACAGGAGGAAGACACTGACAATTCTTTATTAGGGAACAAAAAGTAAATCCCCAATAATGTTGTTACATTCCTGTTGGCCCTGCCCTGAAGTGTTTCATTATTTAATTCTGAGGAAAGTGAATAATTCTCACCTCAGCTACTGCTTTTGTACTAATATCCACCAGCGTTTCTGAAGAGTTCAGCCAGAAGATTCCTGAAGTTCTGTTAGGCTTGTGTGCTAAGAGAAGGGGCACTGAACCATAAATGCCTATTTTGTCATGTATCTTATGGCCGAAGATATCCAAATTATAAAGCCGGTAGGCATCACCATCACTAGGACAAACAAACAGATGTGTTTGTTACATGTAAGCATCCTGCACTAGGTCAATTTTAACTTTACTGCCATTGCACTAAACTTGGTGAATACTCAGTAAGCACTCTGTATTATGGCCTTTTGTTTGGCATCCAGAGCTGAGATATGGGCAGCCTAGATTAGTGCTTCTTTGCTTTGGTCCTCACTATCTGAATCAAACAGGATTTTTGCTGCTAGTGAGACTGTTTGCTCTAAATCCTAAAACATGATTTCTGAACTCTCCCATCAAGTTCCTCTTTTATGAGTTCTGCTAAAACATGACTGATCCTGAAGTCCAGAAAAAACTGAATGGAAAATCGAGCAAGAACAGAAGGGGCCATTTATGAAATTACAGAGTGGAAAGGGAAAGCAGAACAACTTACTCTACATGGATAGTGGCTACAATTCAGTTTGCCACATAATTAATCTAAAAGATACATTATACGATATACATGTTTCAAGCTGTTGTCTGCATTAAATTATTAAGACAGTGTTACAGCTCTCTTCTGCAAAAAAACTCCAACTGCACTCATTAGCAATCTGGCACCTTTACCTGGTGTTTTTGAGAAGAAGTGTTTCTGTGTGTTGTGGTATTCCATAAATGTGATCATATCCATGTAAAGAGAAGTCCACACCTACGGAACTGGGACCTGTGGAAATAACATTAAAAGAGAAGAACACAGAGATCCATTCTCAGGTTTATCTGAAAGCAACAGAGCGGAGCAACTTAACTGGATAAAACAACTGAAAGTTTCAATAATTAACTCTTTCATACTTCTTTGCAACTTCACTTCCATTATTACTTCTGTTTCATAGAGGTAACGTTTTAAATAGATTTTATCTCCAGCTTCTATCCCAGTACTTAAAAGCTAAACTTCGCAGCACAGTGGACTTTAGAATCAGAGTTGCCTGTTTCCCACTGGTCTTCTTTTCAGTCTCAGCCATTGGAGTGGCATCCACAGGAGTCCCTAACAGTGATATCATCTTGTCAAAATACAGAATCCAGGGCAACTTTTGGCAGGTGACCAGAGATCCTGTAGACTGACAAGCAGCGGCTTCAGGATCAGAACCTGACCACTCAGACTTTATTCCTCTAACACAGAAAAAAACATGATGCTGGCCTAATACATCAGATACAGCATCAGAGACAACAGCTTCCTGCCCTCCGTATCTTGACTGTGAACTGAAGAAGTATCTGTCACCAAAAGGAATCGCTTTCAGACCTCCCTCTCCCTATTGCAGCTGCAGGGTAGTGCTGGTTGCTATAGAACTCTGCATGATAGTGGTAATGGACAAAGCTAACTAACTTAATTAATGAAGAGTACAGTGAGACAGACAGCAGATGGTCATACGTTTTGGTAATTGATAATTTAAACTGTATTTGAGCTACTGCTCTCACGTGTATGTAACCTCTTTATCTCTTAGGATTGCTCAGTATTTCCTTTTGTAGTCCTCACTTAAAAAGAGTTTCTTTGTGCTAGTTATTAATGCTTAGATAATATGATTTCTGATAGGTCATGAGAATGAACTACAGGTGAAATCAATGTTATGAACTGATACAAAAAAAAAGAACATACAAAGAAAATAATGTATTACATACATGTACACTCGGACAACACAGATAGTGTGTCAGAAATGGCACATAGTGAGTTGATGAAACAGATCACATTGAATGTGTTCCCTCTTGAACAGAAATCTAATGAATAGTTGCAGTACTTTTGTCAAATTTTTTACCCGTCACCCATTTCTGATTAAAACAAAGTGAAGACAACTGAAAAGCAAGAGTGAGTGAGACATTGAAAAATTTTAAAGAGATAAACAGAAAGCAGACAGAATATGAATGAACACAGGTTTATACAAAGACATAAAGCCGTTTTCAGAACTACGCTGAGGCTTACCATGAGCTTTGATGTCTAAGAAACTGCCAAATTTCTCTTGCCAGAGACCTAGGTCCTCTTGTTTTTCCTGCACAAACAGAAATAGCTAAGCCTAGCAATTGCAATTCACAGTGTATTTCTAAGAAAAATATGTTTTTTCATGAGACTTATACATTGTTAACTGTTTTTTTGCCAAATATGGTGAACATAAATCCAAAACATGTTTAGATTCTGCTGCAGCAATTTACACTGACAAACTGACGTGCACATGTTGCACGTGTGGCACGTGTTACAGCATAAAAGTAATACCCAAGGTCTTGGATAGAATCATACAATGATAGAATATTTGAGGCTCCTTCCATTTTGGAAGGAGCCTCAAAAGATCATCTGGTCCACCATTTAATGGGAAAGGGAGCCTAGATGAGATTAACTAGCACCCTATCCAAATAAATCTTGAAAACCTGAAGTGATGGGGACTATACCAAGTTACTGGGGAGGTTTTTCTAGTGAGTAATTACTCTCACTGTACAAAATGCATTTCTTCTGAAATGCAAAACTGCATGGAAAGAACCAAACAGGAAAATCTGTACAAACACAAACCAACCTACTCCCCCAAACAGTAAAGGTCAGATAACAAAAAAACTCTCCAGACACTCTGGAGTCCTGTGTGTATAACTGATACTTCTAGCCTTTTTGTGTCCTGTCATTCATTGTCCTAGAATTTCCACTTTTTGTAGCATGTTTCCTAGTTTTCTACATTCATCCCAGAATAAGCATGGCCTCTTGCAGCTGTGTGACTTCCCTGGCAGAACTCAGAGCTCAGCCATAAATGTGATAAATACCATAAATGCTCAGCTCCTGCCATTTATAACAGGATAGCAGGATAAGCAGCCATCTGCTCTACAGAAGTCTAAAATTATATCCTGGACATAACTCAGCCTCTTGGGAAAAGTGCAGTGTGCACTCTATGCACTGCCAGGACCTGGTCTTTTTTTCAGAGAGAATCTTACATCTGTATTAAGCCTGAACATATGTGGAGGTATAGTTTTGGAGGTATAGTTTTTGACTGTTCTTTTGAAACTCTCTTTGCAACAAACAGGGAATTTGAAAATGACCGAATATAACCACAAAAGTCCCTTTTACGTATCTACTCCGAATCAAATAAGAGAACAAAAGAGAAAGAAATTATTAATAAAAAGGTCATGGAAAGAAACATTTTTGTGCTAGATCTAGCTGACTGATGCCTTCTACAGACTTGTTAAAACACATCAATCTTCATTCAACTATGAATTTACAAAATACCTCAATAAGCATACCAGGTCCTTTTTTAATTTCACTGGAAAGTGGTTAGATTGTATTTGTAAATGTAGTACCAGGTGAAATAAAAATGTGATTTTAATTTCTTTTTTTACAAGACATTTATGCTGTGATTGCAATAAGTATGAGTTACCTCAAAGTAATCACTTGCTGCCTCCTCATTTTGTGCTGTAGGTTTTCTAGTGAACATAAATACATGGAAATAATCAGTTTATTGTTAACGTAAGCAAGGATTTTAAACAGAAAATTCAAATAGCACTATGTATGGCTTTTGGTTTTGGTGCTTGACTATTCTGAAAATTGATTTTATACCTGAGAGCTTTAACTTGCCAATAATTTTAATATTCAATGCCTTAAAATAACCTTCACTCAATATTCGAGTTAGGTTGACTTCTTGGTCTTTCATGTTTATTTCTATCTGTGTCAGCATTTTACCCACCCAGATCCTCACTTCTTTATCATTCTGGTTTTGGAATAATGCTCAATAGCAGATACACTTGCTATGCTCTTTTTCTAGTCATGACATGTCCTGCACTGTGGTTTCTCATCCTTTTAGCACTCTGCAGTGTGTTTGACCTGTAGAATCTTGCAGCTACATGGCACATTGTAAGTTGAATAAAACTTGACTTCAAGAGCTTATAGAGTGAATAAAACTTACCTAAAGAGTAAGTTTAGTAATAAAAAAGGTGAAAGTAATAACCTCATCATACTACCATAAGGTTAGCATTTTGCACATGGCTGCTGCAAGGGATTAAAACAGTCTGCAGCTAGTTGGTCCAGAATTTATTAAAACTTCACCATATACTTAGTATACTTATGAAGTAAAAGAGAATACAGAATTTAACACGTAAGAGCTTTCAGAAACTGCAATTCCATAGAATTATCTTCAGCTACAGCACAAGCAGTACACAGGATGATGTAATAAACAGATACTGTACCTGTCACTGGGAGGTGGCTGTAGGTGCTCAAAATATAACAACCCATTGGAATTCATGCTCATGACAGTCTCACCCTTGGACTGCAGCTCAACCTGGAAGGGGTTTGCTGAGACTTGAAGTTTGTAGTCCCCATTAGCACTTGACAGCACCAAAATACCTGCCTCCTTGTGGGATATGAACAGTCTGGCAAATGAAAAGCAACAACAGCAACAGGTAAAATCCACTGTAACTAAATAACAATTTGAAACAAAAGATGGACTAAGAATATCTGCATGCATTACACAAACCTCAAGGCTAACGCTGAGGCAAAGAATGCCAGAAATACATGCTGTGCTCGGGACTCACTGCACAGTGCAAGAAGTGGCTACAGAACTGCTGTGAAAACTATCCAGACCTTGTATTCCTGTCACATTAACACATAATGCTTTCGGTAAAAACTATACATTGTAGCAAGTACGCTATTTTCTGATTGGGTCAAATAGCCTCAGGTTTCTTTTGTGTAGGACAAAACTTCCTCCTATGTATTTAACACGAATTTTTGAAAGTAAATTAACCACGTGCATTTTTATTTTTGATTCTTCTAACAACTTGGTATTGTAGAGAGACAACTGTACTTTTGCATAAACAGGGGACCAAGAAAAACACTTGCAAATGAAGCTGTGTAAGTTAAATCATCTTCCCATCACTTACCTCTGGGTGGTAGGTTCCTTTATAAGAACATCAGGAACTTTGTATCTTGCTCTGAGAGGAGAAGCCTCATCAATTTTAAGCCTGAAAATATTGCCTTCTATTTCATAAATTTCTACTTGTAGAAGAACCTGGGAGCAAACAAATAAATAAACTGGTAGGGATAAAAAATACCAATTTATTTTTTAACACAACATCACCAAACACTTACTGTCTGGAAAAAGCAAACATGCCTGCTTTCTGATTTAATGTGCTTTAGCACTGTTGAGTAAAAATCATTATCCACATGAATTTACACCAGCTAAATCTACTTCACCCCTTCGAAGAAGCAATGTTTTTTAAGTGAGCTCTTTATCTTCAAAGTGCATATAGCTCTCTCCCCAGAAGCAACATGGAAAACAGCAGCAGAGTACACTAATCTCTAAGTTGGTACAATTTCACTACTATGCTGTTGATGTAAGGGTGGTAAAATCCTGAGATGTGGACTTTTTGCAAAAACACCAGTGCTCTGTCTTCACTAGTATGCACAGTGCTGACACTAATCAGCTGTGTCAGAAAGACACAAAGAAAATGTGCTCATAGTGCTCTACTCACTGTAATTTGCTATTTTTTACTTCAGGGATCTGGACTCTGTTCTAGAAAAATTACTCACTTTTCTTCCACAGAGGATCCTGACACCACAAGTCTGATTTTTTATGTGGTTTTTTTTTTTTCCCCTTAATCTCTCTTCCTTTAAGACACAAAACTGGCTGAAGAATTTTAGCCTGTTATCTTTTCCCATTATGTGGAAGCCAATCAGTCCTGCTCTTCAAAGGCATGAAAGCACGCAAGAGCCATAAAACCAGAAGAAAAGTAGGTAAGACAGAAAAGATTCATTTGGAGTTCCAGGCACTGCTTCCTAGGACATATTTTACATTATGCTATCTTTGTATAAACCCCCAGACAGTCTAGGAAGCCACAGAGTCTTCAATCTTTCATATTCCTTGAAATCTAGATAAAAAAATAGGCTCATTTTTCTATGCTGACTGCAAAGAAGTTTAGGATTATCAAGAGAGAGAGAAAATACCTTTATGAAGAGCATCTACATAGTGTGATGATTAGAGCATGGAAGTGACTTGTAGTTTCAGACTTTGATGATTGGAGCATGGGTTAGGTTTCCTGTTCCCTGGGTAAATGTGTCAGCTGCTGTGCTGTTAAATTAAAGAAATAGAAGGCCCACCTCTTCCTGTTTGTCATCTTAAATGCAAAGATGACTTCTTTGTTCCAAAAAACTGCCTTTGAGAAAACACAGGAATACTAAGGTATGGTTAGGAGGTGCTGGAATATATGTCCTCTTATTCCATTATAGAAAAAGAATTTATTATTTTGAAATAGTGGAGAAAACTCTGAATTAAAACCATTTTTCAACTACAAAGAGTTCTATTCACATTTTTCATAAAGCCATTACATTTTTTTTTAAGTTCCTTAAAATACTTCTTTCTCTGGCATAGCCTCAAGCTGTCAAATAAATACTGACTAGTAAGGACATATTAGGCTGATAGTTTGCATTATATCTTAAATATCTATCACTGAAGAATCTTAAAACCTGCAAATATTATCAATCTTGTTGATAATATTTACTGCTCTTTCTGTAAGCACCCTCTTATTTAAGGTGGGATCTCACCTTATTCTCCTCATGAATAATTTGGAATTTGACCTTCTCATCACTTAACGTGACTGAATCCAACAATGCTTGATACGAGGATTTTCCAGGACATAAAAGTTTCTGACGCCTGTCAAGAGAGAAAATTATTTTTGGTCTCTCTAATTCTTGTAGTTTATGTCACATAGAGGGACATAGTATTGGTAGAAATGTTTACTTAATATTTTTGTCTTGAATTTTTTCCAATACAATTATCAACACTTCAAGTTCGAAAAAAAAAAGGAATATAGTTCTGAGCACATATAAATGTTTATGAATGAGATGTTACAGGGGTTTGGTCACCCATCACCATTCTATAGGTTTTTTATAAACAATGGTAGTCTTAATTAATGTGTCCAATTAAATTCTTAGCTCCACAGTAACTGTTCTTTCATTGGTCCCAGAAATTTTAGCTCAATAATCTGTTTTTCATTTTCTGTCATATATCTTGGCAACCCTGGTGAAGAGCTTTTACATTCTGTGGTGATGAAGCAGTGTATGTTTGTAATTGTAACCTCCTGAATACAGACCGAGGAAATTGTTTTTCAACAAGTCTGCTTACTACAGAGATTTGACTGTGGGTTTTGGCCCCAGTAATGTTTTTAGGAAGAAACCCTGAAACAGAGGCTCTTTCAGCTGTTTGTTGAATGCTCCTTGCCAAGCCCAGGTTTTATGAACTATTTGAAGATAAGTATCTTAAAAAGAAGCTTCTGCAGTAGTAAACTAATTTAATTTCTTTGCAAACAGGAACAAAGATGTGAGCAATCAGTTAAAGGATTTCTTTTAAAACCAGAGCAAAGGCAGGATCTGATACTTATCAATGTGTAGCAAATTCCTCCTGGGAAATTAGAGGTCTTATGTTAAACGGTGACTTTCTAGAAAGCTGTGGTGTGAAAAGGAGCCATGTTCCCACTGAAAAAATGTCTTTGTTTTGTTTTGTTTTCTGAACATAATTTCCTGCAGGACAGATATGAATATCTGAGGCTGTAACCCAGTATGTCAGTGACTAATTGGTGTAACACTGGGAAATCATTCCTTTCAGTCAGGCAGCACAGGATAGAAGACAATAGAGGATAGGAGGTAAAAAAAGTTGAGGAGAGGTATCACAGTTAGAAATGGGATAAGAAAGATGACTTAACATAAGGTTAGCTTTAAGAGACTAGTGAACTAGACTTTAGATTTGACACTCAATTCTGCTCAACAGGACTGTAATCACATATGCTATTGTCACAGACTAATGGTTTCTACTGAGTGTGTTGCTGTTTTGAACTACAGATAGTCAAAAAAACATCCACATCAAGAAAACAACCTGCGTCTGAGTGGAACTATAGTTAAAATACCGCTGGGGCTTAGTCAGATGAGAGGACTGATTCTTTTGAATTTTTAAAGAAGACATTTTGGATGTAAGATTACACGTTTTAAATATAGTGATTATTGTATGCTGACAGGTGAGTGGAATGCTGACTTTAAAAGATAAATTCTGAAAACAGCAGACTTGTTGTGGCTAAGGATCAATGTGTAACTACTTCCCACATCTTTTAATATTACTAGTTTAAAAATAACCACCACTCTACGCTACAATTCTCCTTACCTGTAAAAAGCAATCTGATTGCATTTCTTAAAGGTGCTTTTGTCCACAGCCTCATCTTGTACACTAGAAAGAGCAGATGAAGAGTTTACTTATGTTCACCAAACACCTGCTGAATGATGAGATGTCAGGGGTCCTCCTGAAGAGCAGTCAGGATTAAAGACAATGCAGAAAACTCTGGTCCAACATAAAATGTGTTGGAATTTGAACTACTGTGTTTGGATATGGGAAGAACTTCTTAAACGTCTAGTTCCATGCTGAACCATTTCCTTTTAAACTTTGAAACTTTAAGAAATTAGTGAATCTAGGACTAATGGAGCTGAATTTCAGCATGACTGAATTCTTGGGGATTTGCATTTTGAAGCCAGACCTCTCTCTGCAGTTATTACAGCTAATTATTATGTTCTAGTAATAAGAATGGAGACATAGGCAGTACTGGTAGAAAAGAAGAAACCCTGCACCCTCCTTTTCTACTTTCAGTGGGACCGACAAGGGAGGGAGGCTTCTGATGGCCCTGCTGACAGCACTATGTTATCTCTAGGTTTGGGGTAACTTTTAGATCTATCAGATAACAGTAAATTTTTGGGCTGCCTGAAAAAAATCGGCTGCCAGTAGTGTCTATCATCAAAATACTTTCCAGATCATGCTAAGTTCAGACACAGAGGAAAGATAATAAGGTATTAGTTCTGACAGACAAAGCACTGATGCTTAGAGAATACTTACTAATTATATACATGCAACATAGAAAATTCAGGCGGCAGCTGTTGATTCAGTCACAATTACAGATCCTGGATTATTACTGAAGATATCACAGTACCTATATATTTAGACAATTTAGCCCTTCCCATTTTTGCCTGAAGACACATATGTCCTTTCAGGTGTTTCTCCAGGTCCGTGGGACTTTGCTGTCGCATTTAAAACCCTGCAGCCCGCACACCTTCCAGCGGTGCAGCCCCGACTACGCCGCTCGCTGTCCCGCTCTGAGGCCAGGGCCCGGGGAGGTTTGGCCGGGCAGGGCGGCGGGGACAGCACCGCCACGGCCCCGCTCGCCCGCCCCTCACCCCCGGCACACTTGCTAGGGCCGGGCCCGCTCTCCGCACAAACCAGGGGAGCCAGCCCGGCAACACCGGGGGAGCGAGAGGGTCGGACAAGGAACCCCTACCAGGCAGCGTTACCTGACTTCCCCCGGCGTGGCCGCCTCCATAGCGGGGCTGCTCCGAGCGACCCCCGCGGAGAGAGGGGGTGACAGACAGCCCGCCGGCGGCAGCAGGACGCGGAGGGCTGCCAGGTGGCAGGGCCGGCAGCCGGGGAGCACTGCGAGCCCCGCACGCGGCCCCGTCAGGGAGTGACACTCGGGGGCGGTGACAGCCCGGGCCGAGGCGGGAGCGGCTCCGCCCAGCGCCGCTCCTGCCGACCCACGGCCGCCGCGTCCCCGGTGAGGAGCGGAAGAGGCGCGGCCAGCGCGGCGGCCTCCGTACGGCGGGATGGCGGCGGCGCCGCGTTGCGGGGGGCGGCGGCGGCCCGGAGCCGTCCTGCTGCGGCTGCTGGCGGTGCTGCTGCTGGCGGGCGCGGCGGGCGCCGGGCAGCGCTCCAAATGGCGGCTGCCGGTGCTCCTGGTGAGTGCGGGGAGCGCGGCCGGGCCCCGCAGCCGCCGGGCCGGGCGGTGTGGCGGCGGTCGGGGCGAACGTGTGCGGGGGCAGGGGCAGGAGGCCGTGGCCGCTCCGCGCGTCCTCCTCGGGCAGAGGGCGGCGGCCGAGGGCGTCCCTGCCCGGGCCGCGCCTCTGTGGAGCCTGACCGCAGCCGGAGCTGGTGCTCGGGCTCGGGGCTGTGGCTGCCTCTTTCCCCGCTGCCAACCTGGAGCCCTCTGAGGCGGGTCGGTCGTGGCGGTGGGGAGAGACTGCTTGTGCGGGGAATAATCCGATGGGCAGGGGAGGGAGCGCGGCCACTGCGAAAGCCGTGAGGCGCCAGGGAGGGAGGGAAGGAAGGAGGGAAGGAAAGCGGGAGTGTCTCCCCGGCTGGTGCCCAGTGTCGGGGGAGCCTGTGCGGGGAGAAGGCGCCCTGCGGCCGTGCTGGCGGCCCGCACCGGCGGGGCCTGGCGTCGGAAGAGCGGGACCGAGAGAGGTGCGGGCCTTAGGGAAGGCGAAGGGAATTTCGGCACTTCTGACAAACCGTGTGTGCTTGAAGTTGTGCGGGGGAAAGTTGTTTTGCCTCATATTAGATCTGCCTTTACCTGGCGGTGGGAGTAATGTATGCTTTCTCTGAGACCCTTGAGCTTCGGGAACAAAACTGAAGGATCACGGCGAATGCTCCCGTTGGTTCTTATAACTAAAATTTTTCTTGTTGAATAGTCCAGAGTGCCTCATCAGCAAGAAATTAGTAATCGTTTCAACAAATGTCAATGTGAAATTAATTCAATATGCACAATAAAAAGCCCCAAGCCTCTCGAAGCATCTTTTAAGAGTATGTTGAAGGGGTGGTGAAGCATGACTGGAAAGTCCAGTAAGTCTGGCTCCAGATTTGGCATTTGCTTTCACTGCTGTATTGACTTAAAACTCAGAATGGAAGATTATGTTTACTTAAGCTCAGTGACATTAAGCTTGCTAATTTCTTTTATGGTTTTGTTCCTTTGCAGGGGAAGAAGTTTAACTTTGGGAAAATTCTCTTCAGCAACACCACCATTTTCCTGAGATGTAAGTGGTTATAAGGGATTAACCTGCCTTTTCTGCTTTTTGACACTCCTCCTACTTTTAACATTTGGGACTTAAAACACAGTGAAGTGTTTAACTGCACTGGCTGCCATGACAGCTCCTCTAGCACTTTATGAAAGCCATAACTCTGATGTGATTAGGTCTGTTAAGAGCCTTGAAGCTTCCCAGTTGTGATCTGTTTAGGCTGGGGCAGAAATGAATGGCTCTTCAGGCCCTCTGTAGAGAGGGTAAGATGGGTAATAGGAACACCACTTATTTTCAGATAGTGGGTAATCAGGTGTGGGATGTGGTGAGCTGTACTGTGAGGTGTGCTTTTCCTTTTGAAAGACTTGCTGAGTTCCTCTGGCTGGGAGATCTGGTGCTGACTGGGACAGGGGCTGTTTGTATTGCAGAGTGACTGATGCCAGTGTACAGGAGGCAATGCTTGTTGAGGACTTGTACCTTTTTAGCTGAGTGCATCTGGGAGTGGTAAGGGAATGTTGCACATTATGGCAGAGCTCTCCTGAGAGGTGTTTTCTTCTCCTGATCTCAGTGTGTGAGTGTGCTACAGAGCAAACATGTTTGCAGCCTTTCTGTTTTTTCTGCATTTTGCCCTTTGCTGATCGGGCCAGGTCAATGGGTTATGTAGGTTACTGCTCAAGGGAGAATTTCTGTGAAATACCCTCTTACCTGTGAACATGAGCACAGCATTTAGGTGGCAGTAAGATGATGTAGTTGAATTGGGGAAGTGACTAGCTGACTTTGAAAAGCTTGGAATCTTTGCCATGTGCTTTGAGCACTTTGAGGGGTTGTTTGCACCATGGAGGGGGAAGCTGGTCTGCACCAGTTCTTATCGTTGGGGTGGGAGGAGGAAGCTGTTTGGACTCCGTCTGCTGATTGGGTGCTTACACAGGTACAGTGCCTGTGAATGCCCTTCTGCACTTGTGTCAAGTGGGGAAGTGAAAATCCCGTAAGAGACAGTGAATGGAATATGTGCCTGTATCATGTCAAAATTTAGTTGGTGCAGTGATTGTATTCTTTTTAACTGAGAAAATGAAGGTATTGTGGGGTTTAGCTAAGGCTTCTTGGTGAAGCATGTTGCTGTGCTGTTATGTTTAGTGCTTACCTTAACTGTTTTTTAGTTTTAATTTCCAATACCTGCTCTTCTTCAAATAGAGTTTAAGTGCCTTCATTGATTCCACATTAATCTGAAACAGGAGGCTAGTATTTGAGTGGTTGTTAGTGAAGACTTGTCATGTCAGGGCTTTCCCACTTGTCAAGTGTAGCTCAAATGCTAAGGTTTGTTTCTTGCAGTGAGACAATTGCCAGTTTACAGCTGCAGGATCAACAGGTAGGAATCTGCTTCTTGGGGAGAAGGAGGGAGTTTGAAAGGGCATTTGGAGCTTTGGTAGGTTTTAGGTTCCTTCCTAAAGCTTAATGGAAATAGTGTACTGTTAGTAACAGGGCATCTGAGATGTGAGTCCTTGCAGTGAAGTATGTGGTAAGTCTAATCCTGCTGAAATAACCACGAGAAGGAACTAAGGCATGAAATTTGTTTGTTAAACGGCAGATCTGGCGTTAGAATTTGATCCCTTGACTTGAACTGTACTGTGCTACTGAACTACACTGTGCTTGCAGCCTTTAAACAGGCCTTAAAATTCTTCAGTGAAGACACCTGTTTTACATACAAGTGTGATTAAAAGATTTACATGAATTTGGATAATGAATCACAGAAAGAGGAAGGAACAAAGGCTGTGAACTTACTCAGTTTCTCAGCCTTGATGATATTTAAACTGCATGTGATCCTGGGAAGCTTTAGCTTTGCATATTTTTTCTTTTCTGCCCATGTATCTGTGGAAACTGGTTTCCTTTTGTTTGGTGTCTGTTGCGTCTTCCATCTGCTGTGTGATGTTTATGTGGACAGTATGACCCTTCTTGTCAAATGTGATTGCTTATGAGTTGTTCATGGTTTTGGTGAGCACCTGCATCTCCTTTTCCACTGCCCCTTTTTTATCTCTTCTATTTTTTTTTTTTTTAATTTTGGTATGTGTGACCTGTATTAGTGTCTGATTCTTTCTGCTTCTGGCTGGTAAGACTGCTGCTGGCATTTAGTGTTGTCAATAACGAATTTATTTTTATCTACTACTTTTCTGAAGTGCTATTTATTCTAGAAGGCATTTGGTTTCTTGTTTCGGATCATGGTAGAAATCCTGCTCTCTGTAAATGAGCACAAAGACTGCATTCAAGTTGAATGTTGCTGGCTTTTTTCTGAAGGCTGAGGAACTTAGATTTCCATGTTGCTGAATTCAGTAAATGCCATGGATGCTTCTCCTGTCTTAGAGTACTTCCTTTTCAAGGTTTCTGTAATTTTGATATTTGCAGATATTGTGGATTGTTCTAGTCCTGACCTGTTTTACCTTTAGCAGGTACTACCGCTGAATATGTAGTTGCTTTTTTATTTTTAATAGATGGAAAGGTATTTGAAAGGTATTTAAAAGGTGTTTCTGAATATTTTTCTAGCTGTTTTTATATGTTCTTCATTTGATCAATTTTATTGAACGAGCCGTCGTCATCAAAGAATTTGCCATCTGCCCATGTCACTGCAATGCTTGTGTTATCTTTTAGTTTCTCTGTGGTGCCCTCTGCAACATCTAGGGCAATGAGGAACATGCATGCCTTGTTTTTGTGCTTACTAGAGGGTGTCGTAAGGACGCTCTTATTTTTCAGTAATTTTTCCTTAAACCTTTGCTATTAGGAACTGTTGTTGAGTTCTTAGCTGAACATATACATGCTTTAGTAGTCATGAGGTTTAAAGTGGGATTAGTCAATTAAGATTCCATGGCAGCATCTTTCTTCTAATTGCATTTTTTACCTGCAGTGGTCAGTATGGGAACATTCATTAAAAGTGTACATGTAACAAAGTCTGAGGTGAACGTGCCTGTAAAGTTGTGGGAACTTCTTAGCCCCTGCAAACGTGGTGTTAACTCACATGACTTTTGCCATCTGTTGACTGGGAAAATGCAAACATAATCATTTAAATGGCTCTTCCAGAATAATCGCTGCTCATTTTTTTAAGGGTGAAGCTTTCCTTCTTATGTCAAATTATTTTCATCAGGTTCTAATTTAATTTGAAACATAGAAACACATTTTCCTGACCAGGGTAAGGTCTTGGGTTTCACTTTTTGTGCATGTTGTTCTCTAATGAATCAAAGTGGAAAGTTGTTTTATTGCTAGTTTAGGTAGCATTGCAGCGTCGGCACGAGAGTTAATGTATAGATGGCTGTTTGTCTTTTGGGGGAAGTGGATGTTGACTCGCAAAATCTTACCTTTTAATTTATTTTCTTGGTGATGGTATTGATATATTTAATTTTTTTCTGCAAATTGCTCTTACTATTATCCTGTTCCTAGCTCTCTCCATTTGGTGTGTATGTCCCCTGTCTCTGAAAGGGAGGCCCTTTTTTTTTGTGTTGTAATCACTGAGAGTCACTGCTGTTCTCTTGGTATTTGCAGTTGCAGAAACATCCCTGATTGTCTTCAGAACAGAAAGTTTCCAAATGATCTTCAGTTCTTTAATAGAATTGTATGATGCTATGGAGGAATTCTGTGCTTGCTTTTATCACTGATCAGTAATGGGTTACTTGAAGAAAATGTTTTTCTATTGTTTTGCTTACAGTTTCACGTTTAAAATGTAATTATGATAGTTTTGCACAGATTGGAAGGAAAAGCATGGAAGGTAGGTGGTGTCTTACATGTTCTTATCTGGTGTTGTGTTTTTTTTTTCTTTTTTAGTTGAAGGCGATGAAAAAGCTTGTGATCCCTCCTTAGGTTTCAATGTTACTTGGTACTTAAGATATTCTGACTGCTACAATGAAGTCTTCAACTTCGGGGTAAGAATTGAATGGAAAAACATAGGTTAGATTTTTTTCAGAGGAAGCAAATCTGGTGGGGAGGCAATTGGAGATGTTGCTCTTGCGTTCACACTGCAATTTGAGCCTAAAAGACACGTTCTTCCATTGGAAGATAACAAATTTCTGGAATGGAATTGATCAACAGCTTGCTGCAATTGCTAACTTTTCTTGGGTTTTGGGTAAGGTGAAAGTGTGTGTCAGAATTGTTCTAAACCCAGGAGCTTAAATAACTATATTGACTAAACTAAAGTGTGTGGGTGTATGCTAGTTGAAAATACTTACAACAATGCTTAATGACAGTGAATAGAAAAAAATAAGTATTTTCATATTTAATCTAAATCCTGTTCTTTATGTACGCACATTGTAAATATTAGCAATTTGTATGAATGTGTAGTGTTTCTATCAAATGTGGTAGAATACAATTGTGCTTTATATGGCTTGTACTTTTCCTTATTTGTTTTAAATATTAATTATGACAGTTATAATTGCTGATCTAGCGCAAGACTGAGTCTTAAATCTTTAATATAATAATGTAGAGTTTGTTTATGTAGACTGAAATTTATGCTGGCTGCTGCACCTCCACTGTATTAATTCTTACTCAGAGTCTCGATGCCATCATTTTTATAGTCTTGTGTGGTCATGATGGCTTTTATTCTATTAAATTTGGTTCAAGAGTGTGTGCAGAGTGAAGCTCTCCAGGTCTTGCACCTGTCTACTTAGATAAACTATTTGAAATATTGGATGCTAACTTAAGTTCTACTCTATGTTTGGCAGGATGAACAAGCAGATAACTATTTTGGGACCACAGCTGAAGAGCATCCGGGTTGGTCGGGATACTATGCCACTGCTTCTCTTCTCTTTCCAAACTGCTCTGAGCTCTTCAGGCCTCAGGTATGCATAGAAATTTCACAGTTTGGTCTGTTGTCTCATACAGTCTATAGAGAAAGTGGTAATTCTTGTTAGATGTGTTAGCAACCTATCTAAGTGTCACTGTAGGTTGGGAGGTACCGCTTTTTATCTGTTTATGACAACCCAGCTGTGATGGTGACTTCTTAATTTTGCTTTACTTCTGGCTTGCTATTCAACATCTGGCTCACTGTGGTGGAAAAAAACCCAACCAAACCACTGTTCAATGCTTCTTTGTGGTTTTTTGTTCTGAATTTGTTTCATTTACAGGAGGCTTCTGCTAGTTGAGTACAAGTGGCAGCAGAGTAAAGATTAAAGATCCCGCTAAATTTGGGTCAATAAAGGATTGGCATTTATTGCTCATATAATGTTAATTTAGAATAATGGAAATGAATGTTGATAAATTAATTACTTAAGCACTGATAGCAGGTTAAAACTGAGAAATAGTAGTGCTAGTTTGAAACAATCAAGTGGAAGTGAGAAGACAATGCAAAATTAGCACCGGGAGCCAAGTGCAGGTGTCAGCCGTGCGCTGACTGTACATCGGCAGGCGAAGCTGTGCGATCCTGCTGATGACAATGGCAGTGTAACATGGTGTCTTTCTTTAGTGGTGTACTTAAGAACTCAAGGCAAATTGTGGAGTGTTGCATCTGTGTTCAGCCATTCCTGATTTGGACAAAAGTTTGTGGATAGAGAATACTGGGAAATGCCCCATAACTATTGAACTTAGTGTTGTGAGTTGTTTTTTGGTGGTTTCGGTTGTTTTGTTGTTTGGGTTTTTTTTTTTGTTTCCTCTTTTTATTGAGAAAAAAGACATGACTAAAGGTGACTTGAAAAGGGTTTTTAATAATCTCTTTGCAATGCCTGTAGTTCCTCTGATGTGCGAAGATAGCTTGAAGGGTTTTTAAAAAGAAAGAAAAAATTGTATGCTGCCTGCTTTTTATGTTTAATAATATGAGAAGTGTCAGTCTAGTTTTACTGGATTTTATAAAAGAGATCTTGTGGGTTTAGCTGTGTAGTATGAATTTGGGCATCTTAACTGAGTGTTCAGGTTTGTGAAATAAGGGTTTTAAAAGTCTTTAAGTGAATTATTATCCAAGTCCTTTGAAAAGTCTACTGAATTTCTAACAAAGTATATTCCTCTCAGATACTAATTTATAAAGATTCACAGAAATTTCTTTTTACTGTTTAGGTTTTCTCTTGTGGTATAGCTGTTTCACTAGATTTTGAGTCACCATAGTTCAAAAGAGTTGGTAAAATCTGGATCTCTAATAGGCACTCACTGATCTAGGAACTTTTTACTTTGTAGATTAAGGCAGAAATCTCAAAATCCTGTTTCTGTCTGTGTAGACTTCATCTAGTAATGGGCATACCCAACAGATACATATTTGGAAAATAAAATTAACTTCACTACTGTCATGTCTGTGGGTTCTAAAAATAGGTACCTGTTGTCTGAGGGGAGGAAAAGCAACTCTCAAATGACAAAGTATTAATCTAAATATTGCAGACTCCCTCCACAAATGGACAGTTGATTTATCAAAATGAAAGGTCTCTAATACAGCTGTTCAGAGAATAATCAAATTTAGTGGAAGCTGTTCTGGTAAGGCCATGTTAATGTGTAAAGTGCCTTTAAATGTTTAAGTGTCTATAAATGCTGTACCTTTCTTGTATCTTGCAGATTTTCTATAAAGAATTTGTTCATCCAGAACCTCTCTCCCCTGAGAAACAAGAGGTAATTTTTCTTTTCTTCTAATGAGTGAGTATAGTCACAGAAGAGATAGTTTTGGCATATTGATTTATCCATTTTTCTCTGATATGTTTTTTTGTTTCCCTAAGGGCTTGAAAGATAAGAAGGAGAACACAGGAAATCACACAATGGTGACCGATAAAACTGTATGTATACTGAATTTAAACATGGCTTGTAATCCAGTGGTCTTATTTGTTTTGTTTTGGTTTTTAAATTTATATTTATTTGTATTTATATTTATTTGTATACCAAGAAATTATTGGTAGCATATTCTATGGGATTTTTTTGACACCTGGAATATTTTAGCTTGAAACTGGGTAGTGCTGTGTGGAAAACCAGAAAACAGAAAAATAGAAACAGAGTAACTGCTTTTTCTGTATGTGAAATACAGAACTCATACCATTCAAACTGATGGTATGAATTAACAAATAATTTTCTTTTTCCATTGTAATTTAAAATAATAATTGAAAATGCCGGTTTTAAGTGGTGACTGATTCTTACCGAATACATTGGGTTTTGTCCTTAGTCAGTTTTTTAAAAACATTGTACCTGTTGACTGATTACTCCTGATTTTCAAATCTGTTAGTATTTTTATTACATATTATGTTCAAGACTCAAGGAGGAACAATTGTCAGAATAGCATCAGGTTGATTGTCCTGGATGCCAAGACAGAAAACGTATTTAACTCTTTGTGTAATTAGAGGCCATTCACTTTAAAGCTAAAACATAAATAGCTGTGTGTGCAGTTGTGAAATAAGGAATCAATGCAGCAAGAGATAGAGATATCTTAAAGGCAAAATTGGTGTACATAAATATATCCATTTTATTTTGAGTTTACTGTGTTTCTAAATAAGTTTTCTTTTCATTCAATATTGGCAGAAACTTGGTTTTTTTAATACATAATATTCTGTTGGCTTTAGTATCATAGAAGGTCTTGTAGTCTTGTAGGTCTTGTAGTCAGGAGGTTTCTTAAAAGAAATGCGTGCTCTTAATAAATGCATTCTCTGGGGAGGCTGTTATAAAAACAAGTCTTTGTGGCAGTTCCGTGGAGTGGCATACATGTAGATAGTCTTAGTTTTTACTTTAAAGCTCCTGGTAAATATTGCAGTATCTGAGATAGATAGAACTTCTTCAGTTGTGGAATTAACACTTTTGTATGCTAGAAATCAAAGAAATCTCTGATATGTTTTATGGTGCACATATTTATGTGGACAAGCTTACTCTGTTAGTTTATTGGCAGGATTTGAGTCTTACAGGTTTGAGAGCTGCTGCAGGGACTGCAGTAGTAGTGTCCATAGGAAATGACTACTATGGAAATGTCTCAACTACCTCTTCTATCTTACACTGTAAAATTCAGCCTTCACCAGGAAGCTGAGTTATATGTAGCTGTGCAGTTCCCAAGCAGTTGATTGCAGCAGGAAATACTTATCTCAGTGATGGCCTAGTGCTTCTAGTCTGAAAAGAAGAATTGGGGTGCTCTCCTGAGTTCTTTGTAGCTTTTGCAGAACCTTTGAGTACTCTTGCAATAACCCAGTATTAAATTTGCAAATTTGCAAAAAAAAAGCTGTGGTCATGTCCCAAGTCCTTGAGGATTCTTCTGCATTCAAACGACTATATTTTAAGTATTATGTCTAATAAATACATATAAAATTTACATATCAAATATTTATTAACAAGTTTTAGGTCTCACAAGAGGTAAACTTTATATTTACATGGAAGATATCATCCATGTATGGCTAGTCTACTTCAGTCTTTTCCTTGTCTTCTCACTGTGCAGTGTTTACATTTAGATGTTTTATTTTCAGGCAATGAATGCTGTTATCAAAACTTGGCGAGATGGGCCATATATATTTATTGTGCAAATTGGAAGTACAACTGCAAAGGATTCTATTACCAGAGTTAAAAGAATGGAGAGGACAACACCTTCCTCATATCAAAATAAGCTCTTTACAAGTAAGATAGCTGTCTATACAGAAGTACAAATATACAGCACCATTTTTATGTATTACCAGTCTAAGTGTATTCTAAGGTACTTTTAATATATACCCTATGGTTCAATTTTATAAGACACTATCACTTCACATAGGTATTGCTACAGCTCTTTCTTATCATAAGAAAATAGGTGCACGCTAGTGTCTTGAAGATCCTAAGACCATTGTTCTGTCTGTTTACTGATGGAAATAAAGAGTAATCACAAGCATTTCAATTTTGAGGCTTGGTGTTTTGTTTAAAAAATGTGCAGACCAATATAGTGATTTATGTTTATAAGCTCAAAACATGTAGAGCGCTAAGATCGTAATTGTTGCCTTGAAATTGTATTATAGGATATCTAACCATGCATTGATAACCTATTCAAACTTCAGAGAAGTTCGAAAATCCCCTAAAGTAGTGAACTTACACATGCTTCTGAGTTTTTCTTGTTACGCGTGAATCTCCAGCAAAAATTACTTTTAAGTACTGACATGAGTTAGTTGGTAATGGAGCGTGTAATTTTAATTGCATGCATTTAGCTGAGTGTCTTTTAAGCCTTAACTTTCTTTATTGAAGTGCAAGTTAGATTTAAAAGCTACGTGAAGACATGTAATTTCTTTATGCTTGAGTGAAAATCATTTAAGTCCTGGCTTCCTTCTTTTGGTTCTTGTTCAATTTGGTTATTGGATTGTCTTTTGACAGTGACAGTAGAACTGAAGGGGCCGTATGAGTATCTCTCACTTGCAGACTATCCTCTGATGATTGTAAGTAAACCAGCTTTTCTTTGATCTCTAAAATTGTCAGTTGATTTGAATGTCAATTAAATACTCTGCTTTCATATTTCAGGAAACACTGAGCCAGTGTCTCAGGAGAAAAAGTTACTTAGCAGAGAATGTTTTTGGATTTGGTGGGGTTTTTGGCTTTATTTGGTTTGAGGGGGTTTGGGCTTTTTTTGTTTGCTTTTTCTTTTTGTACTAAGTACAGGCTAGGGAAAACATATAGATTTCAAATGCTTGCACATGGCACTAATGTTGTCCTTCTCTGGATTGTTTGAATTAATGGATGTTGATTTGTAGTTCCTGAAGTTATCAGTATTATTAGCTCTAAACTGAGTTTTACTGACACATTATTATTCTCCTTAGCTCACATCTTACAAAATTTGCTATTCTGTGCTTTTGTTTGCAGCTACCCTTTCATTTGTCACTGCTTTCTTTGTCCTTTTACAGCTTAATCTTCCTTCCTCCACCAGCTGTCTTACACCCCATCAGGAGGTCTATAATACTGCCTTACAGCT